CTCATTAGAGTAAAGACTAACTCCAAAGTAACAGCTCTCTGAGTCCTGTTGATGGTGTAGCTGGGTACCTGTAAGCTTGATACGCATCAGAATGGTATTTCTTATGCAAATGTTCAAACTATTTTAAGACTTGGCATTTGTGAATTGCTGCAAGATCCTTGAAGAACTCAAAGTTGAGTTTCATTGTTGATGGTAGGGTACTGGTTCTGTAGTTTCAACTTGGAGAATAGGTAGACTTTCAGCCCTGTTTTTTATTTAAAAGGCTGACTTGAGTTTACTTTTCCCCATCAGAGTATCTGTGAACAAAGCACATAACCTTTGCCTCGCTTTTTCCTTTTCACAACTCTTTTGGGAGGGTTTAATGAGGCTTAGTACCCTAGAAACTTTCACATGGAGTCTACAGTGTAAAATAACACCAATGTTGACACTTCACTTAGCCATTCCTTTTAGCTGGGATTTCTTCCTTTTCCACCCCTGTTTGCCTGGGCAGTTTACAAGGAAATTAGAGATTCTTCCTTTTAGGCTTGCACTAATCTGTGTTCTGATACTTGAGCGCACACTTTGATTTGTCGGTCTCATCTGAGTTTCTTAGAAGTAGATGTATTTGGTTATGTAGATCAGCAGTACTCTAAGCCTTGACTGGCTCATACTTGTTTGCTTACTCATTGCTTATCAGCAAAACCTCCTTATATGTAAATAGACTGAAAATCAGTTGCCATATGTGCTTCAAAAACCCCTTCTTTGTTCTTAGAACTGCATGTGGTTAGTGACATTTCAGTGCTGAGAATAGTGTCTGATTTGAATATTAGGTGCCCTTGATGGAAGAGGAGAGTTTCTTGAATAGCTGTTAATAACGTGTTCCCTTCCAACTTCCATGCCAGTTTTTCTTGGACGAGATTTAAGCTGAAGAGTTCTTTATCCAGCAGCTGATGTCTGCTTAGGAAGTGTGGCAGTAATTAATAGGGGTTAGGTCAAAATAAAGTAATTGATGTTGACTTGTTGGAATTAAGATTGCAGGTAGAGAAGAGGTGCTTATTCTTGGGAACTCTCCAAGCAGGAGAGATAGGAGAGAGGTAAGGTGGGGGCGGATGAGTTGCCATCTCTGTTCTAAGCTCTGCTAAAATGAAGTTATTCACAGATTGGAAGTGCCTTGTAACTGCTTCTGTGAATTTTTTCTTTTTACTGTTGCCTATGAGAAATGGTGATCAAAAGCTCTTCTTGTGAGACTGGGAAAACTTGGATCTTGAATGTATTAGTGTTAGTGTAAGCCTTGTGCGTGCTTTGAGGCTATAAGCATGGTATTGTTCTGATTCCCTATGGAAGAAACTGTTCTGTCATTGTGATATCACAAGTAGGAGACGACAACTTTTGTCCAGAGTAACATGCTATGAAAGTGGATGTGAGCCGTGTGTCTAAAAATGGCATGCATGTGTGTGTTTTGCAGTTTATTATGGGTTTGCCTCTGTTCCTGCAGTGTGGTACAGCTGGGTAACACTGGTCATCTGACTTGTATCCCGGTGAGTCCTGTAAAACAGAACACATGACTCAAAGAAATTAATAAAAACTTTGCATTTGTCACAGTCCTCAAGCATTAAATAAGCGAAACGTAAAACTTCGGAAACAAATGTAAGCTTTTAAGATCGAGAATCCTCTTTATGTTATCTTAGATCTTAAAGGCATATACTGACCATCTGGTTAAAATCAGTCTGGCGTGCAGTTTGGATCACTGTTATACAGTGCTCTCCACCTTCTCAGTTCAGAGTGGGACTCGTTTAATTTCAGCATCTTTGGCATAATTGTCATAGATCCTAAAGCTGCCTTTCCACGTGCCTGCTAGCTTGTTATTCCCTTTATCACTACTAGTGCTTGTGCTTTTCCCCAGCACAGGCTCTTACCATTGCTGACATGTCAGGTGTCTTAAGTGAAGCAAGAATAGCCTTGAGTACAGTGGAAACACGAGGTGTAGGAACAACTCCAAATGTGACTAACCTGTTAAAAGTTACTAAATGTTGTGGGTTTTTTTTCTTGCAACAAGTTAATATTCTCTGAACTGAGATCTTCTTTATGAGTCACTGTTAAAATTATTACTGCTGTATGCCAGTTGAGCAGTGTGTTCTTTATATACAGAAATAGAAGATCTACTGTAAACTCAGCGTGTATTAGGGCTCTGTTTTAAGAACTACACACTACTGAGAAGTAATATTCCATAGTCATAAGATAAATATCAACGTATTTTTTACAAGGGCATGCTTTGAACCTCACTGAGCAGAAGCTATTTTGTTTGTAACTACTGCCTGCTAGCATGGTAGGTGTATGGTTTCCTTACACAGTGTGTAAGTGTACTGCTCTGAGGAGGACGAGAGCTCAACTTCTGAGTGTAGTCAGAACAAGTTTCCTACTACTTGGTAACTTCTCTCAGATGATCTCTTCTGGTGATTACACAACAGACACCTGTAGCTTGGTGTTTTTCTTCTTTCCACTAAACATATCACACTTACTCCTTTGAATTTGTCATCTTAGACTAAGTATCTGTGTTCTGCTTTAAAGGAGCTTAATGATTTTTTTTTTCCCCCCAAACATATCAGCAAGAATGGAAACAAGGAAGGTACATGTTGGAGTAGAATGGGCAAGCAGACGCCGGTTTGCATTTTATTGAGTGCTTCATGATTATAACAATACTAAAACAGTAGTTTTCAAATATGTTTTTTGAGCAAGTATAACTAAAACCTTACACAGCAACCTTAACTTTTTGCAGCCTGCCAAAGTGAGAGATTTAGCTTACAGTCGTGCTTTTCGAAGGAGCAGGCAGGAAGAATTTCACATAGGGAGCCAGCAGTTAGAGTTCCATTCAATTATACTCAATGAAGCACTATAAAAAATGTCATGGTTCCTCTCCCTTAAGTTCATTGCTTGTGACTAGGCTTAGTGGGCAAGCAAGATAACATGCAAAGAAAGAGACATAAAGTTGGTAATATTTTTCTCTGAGTCATAAATGTACATACACAAAGATACCCCCTGACATTTTTCAAGACTTTCATGTAAATGATGATGTTATGAAAGCTGACATGAGGGTGTATGTAGTTTAGAGTCTTTCGAGATTGATTAGTGGAAGTTAGAGGACAGAAACGTGAATATTAGCAAAGAAGCAAGACCAATGTGATAAACAGAAAAGCTTAATCTTTGTGACTTAAAAGAAACTGTGTGGGGGAGATGGTAGTGAGCACTGTAAACCAGTGTTTATCCTCTTTTCTATACTGCATGTATCGAAGAGCTCTATCTAATAATAGAATACATGGTTCCCATTACTAGTGACTTAATGAAATACTATCCCCTAGTGAAACGTGGCTTGTGTTCCTAATGGTGCTTTTATTGTCAAACTTGAGTTAGTTTTATGCTGTTAATTGTAAAGGTGTCCTTTAAACCTAAATCCTGCTCTATTTGGGTAGTGTAATCGTAGATATTGAAATGAATTCCTTTTGATTTGTATTTTACACTTAGGATAATGCATCGTGGGATTCTTGTAGTATGTGTTAATTTTGAAAGGTTTTATTTTCTTGCCTGGCGAGCTACTTGGATTTATAGATCTATTAAGCAAGGTGAGCTAGATATATACTATTCACGTTGATTTTTATATTCTTCAACTTGAAGTGACCTAGTGAGTTTGAAAGTAGCATAAAACTTGAAGCTGACTTCTTAATATTTGATCTGCTGTGATCATGACCTGTTAACCTTTAGTTTTAATGGCACTATATAATTCTCCTTAAAGGTTGCAAATGTACTCTATTGTGGGGCTGATTGATGATAAAATACACTTTGCATAATCACTCCTCTAGAGCGTGTGTTGTTTCTAGTAGATACTGATCTCCTGTATTTGTTATCTTATATTTGAGAGAGACTTTGGTTTCTGATGTAATGCAGGTTTTGTGCAGATAATGTGCTCAGCATCTTGATTAGGAGCTGCAGAACATACGGTTCTTGAAAAGGCAAAAGCTCGTTTCATGGTGTAGTTCCCATAAACGTAAACGTTAGATTGTACTAAGATTACTGTATTGACCGTGATGACCTCATAACCTCTGGTGGTAAGGAAGAGTCAAAAGACAATTCAAAGAAATGCAATGTACGAATATTAAAACTGTTTCTGAGAACTGCTTCACTTAAGCAAAGATTCCTGGAACATACACATAAAATGATATTCTTTAATGCAGACTGTCAAACAGTTTCAATGCTTTAGGGACTGAAGTTTTGATTCTCTGATCTCACGAGGCAGTTAAGACAGAAATAAGCTGTGCTGCTTTCTTATAAGCCATTTGCTGCATCTAGGTATTTAAAATTGTGAAAAAGCTTTATTAAATAAGAGAAAGAAGCATTAGGAATATAACATTTGCAAGCACTGTAGCGACCTGTGATGCTGTAACTGACTTGAGCCTTTGGGGTGGGTGTGTGCGCTAAGCTTGTTGAAAGGAAAGGAATCCCTTACATTCTGTGAGCGTTGTTCTGGTGTGATGGTATGTGAGCCTGCAAATGTCTTCTGTATGTGAAGAGATTTGTGCTCTTTCAATCACAAAATAACAATCAGAAGAGAACACCTTTCTTAAAAGATTATTTCTGTTTGGAAATGAGCTAACCAAATGCGAATGGCTGAATACAAAGGGATAACGTGGGATCTGGTGTTATGCTGTATGCTTCCTAAAATGTGCTTCACTTAGCGACAGGAATGTTGCAGCATTGGGAGAGTCACAAAGCATCATTTAAAAACCTAAAATACTTTAGAAAATGTAAATCACTAGTTGAGTTTTGACATTAGTTTTTAAAAGGCTGCTTGACTGCAGTTGCAGAGGGTTCCTAAGTACGTCCTGTGGAGGGAGTTCCTGGAAGACAGCAAGGGAGACTTTTTAAATCCTTGCCTTCCCAGAAGAGGAGTCTGTGGCTTTTTGAAGTTTAGTTAAGCATCTGAATAATTTCACCTTAAATGCTTTTTTCCTTTTTTTATTTCTCATCAGATTTCCTTTATATCCAAAAGGAGGGGAGAAGCTTCAGTTTGAATATGGAGTATATCTTCTCAACAAAAATATAGCACAGGTTGGTACACTGAGATTTTTTTTTTATTTATATCTACTATCTTGTTAGTGTCAGTATGGTATGAGTGTGCATCTACTGTATTGTGATGCTGGTCTCTATGGCAAACATCTGTGAACTAGGGAGATGTTCTTCAAATCATTGTCTTCACATATCTTACAGGTTTGTACTTGAGAATCTCTTCTGTGGTGCTTAGAGAAGGGCTCGCCAGCTAATAATGTGTCTTTTCCTTTTCAGTTAGTAAACACTATGAGTCTATACACACTGTTTTGAAAGTTGTAAATGTTTTTTTGTTATTTTTATCCTGTTATACTCAAAGATCCATTCCTGTCCTTCTCATTGCTGTTTCTTTAATTTTGCTGTATTATTTCTTTAACTAGTGTTCTACTCCTATACTTATAAGAAAACACAAGCTGTAAAATCTTAAGTCTTGCAAATACATGACTTCATATAAAAAAAAAAATTCTCTATTCATCCTTACTTCATTGCTCTTAATGTATTTTAAAAGTCATCCTTTACTTTGCCAAACGTATGAGAGTTTACAAGTTTACAAACATGTATTTGAGATGGTACTAATAACTGCTGCTAACGTGTTTAGTATGGAATTCAGAAAATGTTCAAAAAGCTGGTCTGAAAGAGTCCTGGGGAGGCCATTTAGACTGTTGCATACTCCTAGGGCAGGGTCAGCTGCTCTTATGCTATCCCTGGTAATTATTTGTATAAATTTCTCGAAAGGAACGCCTGTGATCTAAGTAATACTTAGTTCCAATGCTTGACTGACTTGACCATTAAAGTCTTTTCTGACATCTAATCCAAATCTGTCTTGCTTCTATTTAATCACATCATCACTGTTCATAAACACAGATATAATAATCTGTTCATTTAGATCTCTTCCTCTTTGCAAACTTTTATGCATTGAAAGACAACCTCTTCTTTTTAAAATGTTATCTCATGGGTCATATCTCTTAATTTCTGAGCATGGTTCTTGTCTCCTATTCTCCATCTGAATACACATCTATCTTGAAGTGCCCTGCCTGAAGCTGGATACAGTGTGCAACTGTTGCCTTCAAAACATTGAGTAGGATGGGAGAAATGCTACACAGGTCTTGTAATTATTTTTTTTTCGGTTCATTATGTTCTGGTAAGTTTGTACTCCTAACAGCCTAACATGGTGATTTTCATGATTCAGTGCAACCAGCAGCCCCAAGTCTTTTCTGCACAGCAACAGCATAGTCCATTCTGAATTTGTGCAGGTGACTCATTTAATTCATGTTTTACATGCTGTACCTTGAATATATCCTTAAAGATGCACCTTTTTGTTCTTAATCATGTTTCTGATTTGGTGACGTAACTCTAGAAGATGGCGAAAGGTAGGTTGAGAACTCAGTCTGAGCTTTGTGCTATCTGCGTCTCTGAGCCTAGTCTCTATCCAACTTACCTAATTAAAGTATTGTATAGAACTGGGGTAAAGCCTAGACCCAGGTGGAGCCCTGCTTCGCTAGCACTTCCATTTACATCAGTGAACCATTGTTTAACTACACCCAAAGAGTACTTACTTGCTCTATGTTCATTCATACTTCATCAATATCCCATTTCCCCAGCATGCTTGCGAGCATATTGCACCATAAAGTGCCAAGAGATTTATTTAAACTCCAACAGAAATATGACATTTCAGTTTCTAACCAGTTTGTGAGGCTTGAAATTAGATTGCTCTGACAGTGTTATTCTTGAAAAATCTGATCTTTATGTTTAGTTTCTTATTGTTTGGTTTGTTTTTCCAGTTCTCTCTCCCACTACTTTTTTCCCCATTCCCTACTCCAAATTGAAGTAAAGCTTCTGGGTCTTTTTGTGGTGTTTGTTTTTTAAGCTTGGATTGCATTTACCATTTTCCAGACTTCTGGTATCTTGCCCATGCTTAGTGTATTTTGGAAGATAACCTTCAATGGCTCTGAAATTACTTAAAGGCTAGAATATCTTAAGATGAAGTTAATCAAGTCCTGCTAATCTTGGAAATTCACTTAACCAAGCTGTTAATATAACTTAGACTGTGACTCTTTGTTGCTGGTATTAATAATGGCAGCCAGCTGTTCACACTTGACTTTCATAAGGAAGACTAGTGAGAAAAAGGGATTAAATTCTCTTTCTTTCAAATGCTTTGATAGCTTTCTCTCTCCATTACTATCAAATCAATGCTTTCCTTAATCTCTGCTTACGTAAATACATTAGTTCATTCTGTAACTTGTGAGTCGTGATGCTGTTTGCTTTGCTTTTCAGCCTTTCATGTTTTTGTTCCTATTCTGGAGTTTGCTGTTCACTTATGTGATGCAAGTGCTCTGTGCTTCTTTCTTGACTGAAATTATGGACTCTTCTTTGAGCCCAAGTTGGTAGTCTTTCCAGTTCTTGTAGTCTGGGTTAGTTGGCACTTGTGCCTGTAGTATTTTTTTTTAATAGGAACTGTGACCACTTCACTTGTTTTCCTGTTTTTCTCTTGGACTTGTCATCTCTGGGTTGTTACCAGTGTTGGACCTACTGAAATCTCTCGTTCTGATTTTGTTCTTGTCCCATTTCTGAAGGACTATGAATGATTGAACATGTGGTCACTCATGCATGTTGCCTTCCAAGTCCTTGCAGTTGGTTTCTGAAATCACTGGCATTTGTTTAAACTCATAAAAACAGATGAAGACTTTAAGTATGTATTTGTATAAAAAAGTTTCCACATTTACATTGGGTCACTGGTGCTGGTACAAGCTAGTCAGTGGCCAAACTTTGAAGTGGTTTGTACAACACCAGTGGTTCACATGTTAATGCTTGAGACTGTATGCTGATGAATATAAAAACATAATAAAAGTAAATCGGGGATTCAGGGGGGCTTCTACTAGTTATTTAATCAGGAAAGTGTTACTGAAGTCCATATAAACTGTTGTAGTCACCTTTGCTTTGATATCCTTGGTCAAATATTGCAGCTTTTTATCGTTCTGCCAAGGGGAAATTCCATTGTGAAAGCAGAACAGGTAGATAACATGCAGAAATACATCACAAAACTTCTGTACTCAGGGGCTGACTTGATCTACAAACCAGAGATTGTTTGAATCCTTTGTGTGTTCCTCTGGAGGCTGGAACTGTTGAATTTAAGTAGCTTTTAGAAGATCTTAAGTCTACTTTGAGAGAACCTTCCAGATATGCTTAGTTCATGTGAATGTGTGAAAATAATTAAGTTTGGATGGAGAATGAGGAACTGCCTCTTTCTTACCTCTAGACCATCATAGCCTGTGAGGGAATCCTTTTAAGGCACAAAGGTGTTGGCTTTAATTCAGAGAAACCATCGTGCAATTTATTCTGTCATGAATAAAAGTGAATTGGTTGCTGAATTCCCTCTGGGTGCTGTGGGAAGGTTGGAGGTGCCTAGGAGGAACAGTGCTTGACTCCTACTGCAGCATCAAGAGAAGAGCTTGAGTCTCCGTCACCTTACTGAAATCATTCATGCAAGTCTTGATCACTGTGGGTGAGAAACTAAGAGCCCAGAAAAACTTGTATCAACTTAAAGAAATACTTGAAAGGATTTGTGTAAGCTTCCCTGGTTTCACAGATTTTTATGGGGTGGTTTTTGGGGGGTTTTGTGTGTTGGTTTTTTTTTTCCTTTCACAATTACCTGGAGTTCTGATGGCAAGGAGAAACATGAGTGGGGAAGGAGTGAGACTGAGCTGATATTAAGTAAAATTACTGAAATAAAAACTCTGCTAGAGATAAAGTGGTACTGTTTTGTAAAACAGCAGGATAATAACAATGAAAACCACATCTTGCACTCAGGAGAATTCAGCTGGAATTAGAAGCAGCTCAGGGCTAGCTTGGTAGAGCATTTATTTGGAGAAACTTGCTTTGCTGTTACATTCCGAAGTCAAAACAATGTGTGTTAATTCCGAGAGTTCATAATAACTTCCATCTGTATGTGAGCACAAATTGTTTCAATCCCTGTATTTTCTATTTGTAAAACTGAATCCCTCATGAAGTTCACAGAGTAGCTTTTTAAGTTGGATGGTATTAGGTAAAACCATAAATTTCCAGTTAAGATTTCAGCTCTTTGACTCTAATGAACATACAAATGTGTTGGTTTTTTAAAAGGGAAATCAGTGATTTATGTCTAATAATATCAACAACAGCAACAAAAAAAATCACTATTGTTCCAGAGCGTTGTCAAAGGTGAAGCACAATAGAGTTGCTAAAAATGGGAGTGAATCGCTCAGCTCTCAAAAGCATGAGGCACTGGGAGATCATTCAGTAGGTAGCCGGCCCCACAAACTCTACAGCTGCTGAGTTATGGATGTATGTGGAATGTCTGAGGAAGATGAGACTTCAGTAGGAGAATTAAATGAACTCTTGCATTGGTTTTCACAGTAGAGGAGCTGAGATTACACCATGAAAACCTCCTGTTATTGTGAATGAATATTAGGAAGTCACTGAAGCACTGTGACTTTTTTTTGTGGGTGATAAGCAAACCCACAGCATGGGCAAACTAGAATCTCTCAGAGCGTTCTCATCACTCTGAACATATAATCCATGTGTCATACAGCTTAGCTAGGGCATAGACATGGATCTTGTTAAACTGAGCTCTCGCAAGTCCTTAAGCAGTGATCTTGGCACTCCAGGTTTTTTCCTCTCAGTTCTTTAAATTTCTTTTTTTAACCTTAGAGTGTTGGGAGGTGAGAGTGCAGTGGTTTGAGTTTCAAATCTCAGGCCTGTAGAAAGAAAGAAGCTTTATTGCTACTTTACTGGCTGTTTTGCTGTCTCTTTCCTTCATTCCCAGAGCGTTGATTGCTTGGGCCTGACTTCAGTGTAGGTTCCTCATGACATATGAAGAGGTGATCTTATTTTAGTGACTGTCCTTCTCGAGGTGAGTCATTAGTGAGCGTGCACAGTGTCAGTACCGGAGAATACCTGGCCTGAAGTTATACACAAGATGATATTACATGATTTCTTTCCTGTATTGGTCATTATTTCTAACCCAT